TGCAAGCCTTCATTTGTGTATTTATCTCCCAACAAACCTAGAGGGTCAGTTTTCAACTGTGCTTTGATTTCTATATAATATCTCTAGTGTTCTTATATTTCAAAGGTGTTTGGGGAATTAGTAAAAAAAAAAAAACAATCTCTACCACCTCCCATGTGATATATAATTAAAACATTCAAATTATTTCTCCCAGAGTAAACCATTAATATATTACTAAATCTAAGATTAAGATGAAGCCTAGTTGTAACTCAATTAAGCAAACCAGTGAACATTCCAATCCTGTGTTAGTGTCCCAATCCTAACAATTAAGTTTCCGTCAAAAACTGATTTATGGTTCATGGCCTACCTCATCCTTCAGGTTTTTCAGTGCCAGCAACTTCTGGTTCTTAACTAATTCTGCCCTCAAATAATTTCAGAGTGAGGTAAAATCGTATCAGTCAACTCCAGAACTTAAAAGTAAACTTTGATTTTTATAAGGTACACTTTTCCAGGAGAAAATGCTTTCAACAGATTTTTGAGAAGCAGATTGTCCTAGCAGATTTTGGTCTCTGATATGGTTACTCTGGCCAGATGCTTTAGACTTAAGAGCATGTCACTTTAAAAGACAGAGACACAAACACAGGATAAAACAACATAGAATACATCAAGCAGAGTCCTTTTTTATCTTTGCTAAAGAGACTTGTCAATTATGTCCCATTTCTCAATATTCTAATAGCTTCCTCCCATTCTACAACATTCAATTGTTTTCCACATGGCTACATTGATATTTGATGTAATCATAAAAATTATATACTTCATCAAGCCTAAACTTGCATAGAAAAAGCACTGGACTTCCTGGCAATGTGATCTCAGGCAAGTCACTCAACTCTGTGGACCACATAAAATATGGTGATTGTGACTAGATTGATCTCGGGCACCTTCTAGCTCCTTTCTGATTACCTCAAGACTTCCACCACACCTCATTAATCCTAAAATCTTTCTGCCAGACTCAGTTATATTTAATAACCACAGTTCTTGTTATTTCACATGGACTTTCAAAAAAATCACGGGTCTGAAAAAAGCACAAATTTACCTTCTTTGAAAGCCAAATGCAATATATAGATTCCTTAGGAAACTTAAGAAATGGCAATTCTGAGAGCTGAACTTCCAAGTTTTCTTCTGGGTTTGGGAAAACAGGAATTAGTACCTTGCATTCCCTTCTTGTGGTACAAAATGAATTTAAGTTCAGATCTTGCCTTGTAAACCTGAAAGTTAAAGTTAAATGTAGGCTATTATTCTAGCCTGATCTATGAAATGAAGTTACTCAACAATATGGAATTTAAGTACCTAATCCAAATTCTGTATAGGTGAATAAAAACCAACTTTCTACCTACTTGTTAATCAATGCAAGGGCCTAAATTGGTGAGAGCTTTTTAAGTCTTATCTCTGAGAGAAAAAAATCTATTCTCCAACAGTCCTGGGCCAACTTCTTACATTAGCCACTATCTTACCTCTCAACTCATATAGGACAAAAATTTTTCAAAACAATGACTCACATTTATCCAGTGCTTATGATACTGGAGAGTTAACTGGGAGAAACCAATACCAATCACTCAACAATAAAATTACCAATCCTCCCGGTAGTAGAATAAAGTGGATTTTTGCTGCTTTTGCAGTCCACAAATTAGAATTCTTTGTTATTCCACAAAATTTCTGCAAAATACCTAAGACCATAAAATTTTGTCCCTAAGAAGTATTATAAAAGACCTAGACTATTTAAAATAAGTACTTCTCAAATTAAAAATAGGGATAGCAAGTTGATTGATCTACATCACTTTACTTTTGTAATCTCCTACGAGCATTTCCTAGTGAGCTTTCCCAGACCAAGAACTGTCTTTTGCCTTTCTTTGTATTCCCAGCACTTAATACTGTGTCTAGGACACAGTAGGCACTTAATAAATTATATGAAGAGCTCCACTTTATAAACATAGGAACAATTAACTTGTCACAGACTCTCTATTAAATAAAAAATGAGTTAGAATCCCAACTAGACTGACTCCAAAAAACTACACTGGGTTATGAAAATGAGAGATTCTCAGAACTCCAACAGTAGGTAGGAGGGACTGTGCTTTTTAAAATTAGATATTTGATAAGTACTCTTTTAAAGCAGAAAGAAAAATAATACCTTCATATTTATTAATTCAACTAAGAGGTCCAGCTTTATCAAGTATGGAGTAAAACTGAAACTGAGTTATCTAGAGGTACTTTGACTTTTTTAAAAAGATGAATGAAATCAGTGATATTTTTTGCTTGTCATCTTTAACTGTTTGCATTTCTACATAAAAAAACTCGACACTGATCAGTAAGTGCATCAAGTCCCTCTACTCTCTCCCAACCTGAACATTTGTAAACATATTCATTTCCATTCAAAGCATGACTAATTTGAATTCAATGAAATCTGTAGTCCAAATGCAGAGTGAAAACCTTCTAGCTAAGGGGCCATCTAAAAATGCCACAACACTTACTAGAGTAGCATAAAACTCCACAGGCAACATGCTAGAGCTTAAATTCTGTTTCTTTCACTGGAACTGCACATTAGGTTATCTACACTACTAAAAAGTAGCATACTTGAAAGGGGGGAAAACCCACACACATAACAGCAAAACATGCCTAACTCAGAGCACATTTGATCTAAGTTTTGTGGTGTGAACTTTGAAGGGCGGGGCAGGGAAGCCACCAAAAACATGCTCAATGAAAAATTATTTAGCAGTACTTGCACATGGTGGGTATTAAATAAATATGATCTTCTAGATAATGTTCCCCTGTTATGTGTACACTCCCCACCCAACTTTAAATTTTATACATGTACATACATACATAAATATTGTAATAAATCTGAATTAGGAATTCACAACCAAATTTGGTTCATTTAAAATGAGGAGTAGTTTCTCTAGTTCAAATTTTAAAGGAACCGACTACAAAAAACACTGAATAGGCATATCTATTAACTACAGAATATAGTGGAAGATTTTCAATTTAGTTTCCCAGACATCACAGGGCACTACCAGAACAAAACATCACTTAAGTTTATTTCAGATGTAACAGCAATGTCATGTTAAAATTGACAGATTTAATCCTTAACTGCACCAAGTAAACTCAGCCACTTAAGTATTTTTAAAAAGTTATTCCCTCCCCAAAAATGAGGGAGCTTTTCTTTCCCACTGCCCCGCAGCAGAGTTTCCTGGTATTTCTGTGTATGGACAACTTCTTCATTGTTTCAACTGGTGACCAAGCAGCTGGGAAAAATTTGAGAACAATTTTCCCGACAGACAACTTCTATCTGGATGAAGGTTATTTGCATAGATTTTCTTTGCATGCTCTTCCCCCTGGAAACTTTGTTGATTAAGATCCTATATAAATATTTAACTGTTAAAGCACTAATGGATATTTTCTCTTGTGGTCTTCCAATTAATGGGATTCCTCCTTTCTTAAAACACCAGAGGTAACAAAATTTTACTATAGGCCCAAATAATTGTTCCATACTGGACACTGTATTTCAGTCTCCTTTTGACATCACTGAGACACAAGAACCATTCTTCACTTTCTTTCTCTCATATTCTCCTCTTTCTCAGTGGACAAATTTGTAAATACCAGTTCCATGACCATTACTGCCTTTTACTTTCCCTCAAAATTTTCTATTATGAGAACTTTCAGATTAAACCGGGGGGGGGGGGGGGGGGGGGGGGGAAAAAAAAAAAAGAAAAAAAAGGGGGGGGCCCGGGGGGGGGGGGACCCGCAATAGGGTAGTTTTTTTTTTTCTTCGAAAGAACGACGGGGTGGGAGTG